CTTTACTTTTAAGGAGTCACAAAGGCCTGCAAATTACATCAAAACAGTGATTGCATGAGACAAGTACGGATTGTTATTGCAGTTACTTTGAAGAAGGTAACTGATGGTTCATATAAAAATCTAGCATAACAACAAAGAGCTAAAGTCTAAGGGCAGCATTCTAGGGTAGTTACTTGTGAGTGAAATGTGTAACCTCACAGGTTTTTAGTCATTGGCTCACACATTCTCGTCTTCACTCAGGAAGGAGGGCTCCAGAGCAAACTAATTTATGCAGTAGCCAAATCGCTCGCTCACAACTTTAATTCTAGTAGCTCACAAAGTAGAATTTGTGCTCACAGGACCCCACAGCTTAGAGGGAGCATTGGCCCTACGTGTGATGTACTCCTCGGTCAAGAGTCTTAGGCACTCTTGCAAGGGAAGGCAGATCTACCTCCTTCTGCAGCTACGTTTTTACATATGCCTTGATCACCCAGGAATTGGAGGCCAAGTGAACCGTTTGCCTTTCAATTTGCTGTTGCATGGATCAATTCTGGCCAGTGGGCAGGACCGGTGCCAGGTTTTTTTGCACACTGGGCGAGGTTAGCTTCTGGTGCCCCCCTCCCCCTGGTGCACCCACCAATTTTCAAACATAAATGTATTTTAGGAACACAAAATTTGAAATTGCTAATAAGAAACTAAACAACACATCAAGAGCAGGGAAAAGGAATAATATCGGATTTTCTCTGCTGTAGGAATCCATACATTTATTTATTACCATAGGTCATTTCCTAGAAAAAAAGGTGGAGTTCATTTGCATAACTCATTTGCATATGCCACACCCCCTAACTAAGGGCAGGCATGTTTACAATGAGTTAAGGCATATGCAAATTAGTTTAAATCCCCCCCCCTTCCTTGAGTCTCTCTGCAAAAGCGCAGAGGCTCAGGGGGAAAGGGGCCCTGTCTGCTCACCTCCCCTTCCCCTCTCCAAGCAACCCGCCATGGTGGGCTGGCTGCAGAGAGGAAGGGCAGGGAAGCAGACATGCCTGGCTTCCCTCCCCGATCTTCTCCAGGTGCCCCATGGCTGCAGGGCACCTGGAGAAGATCGGGTAGGGAAGCCAGGGATTTAAATCCGTGAGTCCGGCCACTGCCCCCATCTATAGAGGGTGGTGGTCCGGGTGGGCCAGGAAAGGGGGGGTGGGGTTTGGGCTTCTTCCTGTCGAAGCGCAGCTCAGGGGCGCGAGCAGCGCTCTGACAGGAAATGACCCCTGCTTATTACCACCTTTGCCCGAGGTCAGACCAAGGGAAATATATCGCCCTTTCTGTGAAAACTGATTATCTTTTCTTTCTAGTCTTCAAAACCATACATCTTCAGTTCATTTTTTTTCCTTTTTACACAAGAAGTCCATGAAGGGTTTCTATGTAGGTATCAATTTAAGTAAAGTTTTTTTTAATCAAAGACGCAAGTTTGGCCGTCTCTGCTTGTTCCGTCATCTTGACTAGCCATTCCTTTATTGTAGATAATGATGCAATTTTTAGCATATAACAGTCTTGCTGCTGTTGTCATATACAAAAACAAAGTTCCATTCGTATTTTCTAGTTGTTTATCCATTAGTCCCAGCCAAAAAGCCTCTGGCTTTAACTGCATATTAATCTTTAAAATCTTCAGCATAACTGAATGTACTTGTATCCAATATTTTTGGGGTTTATTACAAGTCCACCACATATGATAAAATAACACTATATTAAATACCATGCCTACCCACAATTATGCCCGGTCTAGCCCAATATCATAAGATCTCAGAAGCTAAGCAGGGTGGCCCATAGCAAGTATTTGGATGGGAGACCTACAAGGAATACCAGGGTTGTGACGCAGAGGCAGGCAATGGCAAACCATCTTGGAACTTTTCTTACCTTGAAAACCCCACAGGGTTGCCATAAATCAGCTATGTCTTGACAGCATTTTCCACCACCCACAATTACAACGCAGTTTCCGGCTGATTGCAGAAGAGTCCTTCTCCAGCCCTCCTACAGACAGACAACTCTGTTAGGAAGCTGCTGGCCTGCTGCTATTTTGGGAAGTTCATCCCCAGTGCTATTTCTGGAAGTCATTCCCAGCAGTGAGGTCAGAAAATAAGGTTGTTGGTCAGGTGGGGACAGTTGGACTGCTAGGAAATCACCTGAGTGTTGACTCAGGGGGCAAAAAAGGCCAAGACCCTGACTAAAACAGCAGCTTCCCCCAGATGCAGTTAGTAGCAGATTACAGTATTAAGAAACTGACATTAGCCCGGTCAGGGGTCTTGACCACATAGCAGACTGTAGTCTTGTCATGGTCATACATTTGGATTTTGAGCACTACTGATTTTTGAACATGAACAAACATTTTTTAAAAACACGAATAAAACTATTAGCTTTAAAAAGTCTAGTTCTGCATCTCACAACTTCGCACGTCCCTAACAGTGCTATCCTAAATGGAGTTCAGGAGGCCTGTTCATTTTGCCTGCATGCAGTTTTCCGCATCCCGTGAGATTGCATGATCACTGTTGCAAGTGGTGGATTCTTGAAGGTGGTCTATGCAATCTCATGTGGATGCAGAAAACTGTATATAGGCAAAATAAAATGAAGACTCTCTGAACACAAGAGTAATATATCACATAAAAGAACTGGTGCTCCTCTGGTAGAACATTTCCGAGGATAATCACAAACCCACAGACGTTTTGCTTTGGGTTATGGATGACAAAATTCTGTTGAGGAAAGAAGAAGAAGAAGAAGAAGAGAAGAGATTGGATTTATACCCCGCCCTTCACTACCCAAAGGTGTCTCAGAGCGGCTTACAAACTCCTTTCCCTTCCCCTCCCCACAACAGACACCCTGTGAGGTGGATGGGGCTGAGAGAACTCTGACACAAACTGCTCTTTTTCAAGGACAGCTGTGCCAGAGCTTGTGACTGACCCAAGGTCACATCAGCAGGTGCAAGTGGAGGAGTGGGGAATCAAACCCGGTTCTCCCAGATTAGAGTCCGCGCACTTAACCACTACACCAAACTGGCTGAATGGATTTTGAAATGGGGAACTCTGTACCCTAAAGGGTTGAATGAGAACATCTTGTACATAAGAGCTAAGACATGCACAGAGAGCTCACTCTGTTAAAAGGTACATGCGGGAACCGGTCTAAAAAGAATCTGGAAGGTCGGTATGATTCTTAAGCAACTTAAATGAAGAATTTCATACGATTGGGTAATATTTAGTGGATGCTATTGCTAGTTTAGTTGTCTCAATATAAATAACTGATTGTGAATTGCACTCTGTACATGCTCTGTGAAAAAGCCCTGTGTTTTAGTAATGTGTTTGAATTGGTTTTGAAATGATGTATTAAATATACTTTTATATTTGCATTATTTTGATAAGTTCCCCCTGACGAAGCCACACGCGAAACTCGTAGGGGTTACACAATCATTAAAGATTCTTTCCTTTGCACCATTTGTCTCCTCGCCTTCATTTTGTAGGAAGGGTACTGGTTCTGGTGGTCCAGATCCTTCTTTAGTTAGTTAGCAGAGCGCACAAGGCTGGTTTTAATAACTATGTTGTATATTTTATATTGATATCTATACTGTTGTTTTATCTATTGCTTTTTAATGTAAGCCGCCCTGAGCCTGCCTCGGCAGGAAGGGTGGGGTAAAAAAAATCAAGCCAAATAAATAAATAAATGTAACACAGCCGTGTTTGTATCAGACCTGACCATGCGCTTGCAAAGTTACACAGAGCCATTGTTTCAAGTTGAAACAAAACAATATCTACTTTATTCTATAAATACATGCTTGGTAATGCACGGTAGAGAAGCAGAGAAAGTTCCTATGCTGTCTAGCTAACAGATGGGAGTGGATGCAGAGAGGCAAACTGCACCCCATCTTGTGTGCGTGGAAGAAAGAAAAAGGGAGAAAGGGTGATTCGGCATTGGCTTTTCCCTCCATTGTTTTACACAGGGGTCATGCCCTGCAGGAGCGCACAGGAGCGGAGCTCCGGCAGTGAAGAGCCCAGAGGGCGGGCACATGCAACAAGCCCCACCCCCTGCTCTCAGCAGCCCTCAGTCAGAGCAAGAAGCAGCCAGGTAAGCTGCAGAGCCCCCCCCCCCGCCCCCCGGTCCAAAACAGTCCAGTGGCACCTTTAAGACCAGGTTTTATTCAGGTACAAGCTCTCCATCCTCTGTGAGGACAGATCCGCACGTCACGTCCCCCCAATAGCTAGCAGTCCAAAACAGTCCAATGGAAGCTGAGCGGTGGGTGTTGCCTTCTGACACACTTCCGGTGATGTCGGGGTGTGTGGCACATGCAAATAAGTTATGCTACTGAGTTATGCTGAGTTATGCTAATGAGCTCCTGCACCTCTTTTTCTACTACGAAATGACCCCTGGTTTTACAAAATCCACGTTGGAACAGAAACTGCCCTCTGCATTGCATGCTGCTTTCACTTCCTTTGATCATCGGATTTTATGATAGCTTCTGAATAGATTTATGGTCGTTCACGGGTTGCCCTGAGGTATTTGAATGTGGTTTTGAGCTGCACCTTTTCCTCCCAGTTGAGAAAATGTGGAATGAATGCTAGATGTAGAATTGCCCAGAGAGAAAAGACGGAAGGAAGTTGTTTTTTCCCTAAGGAGTGTTCATCTGCACTGCAAAGGGAGACTGTGACAGCAGAGTAAACAGGAAGATGCTTAGTGTTTGCCTATCTGCCTTCACACTCTGTGGTCACTTACTTATGGAGGTCTTGAGAGACACAGGGACATCGCACCCGGAACTCCCAACACGTGTTGCCTTCGTGCAGCCTCCCTTTTCTCTGCTTAGCTGCTTTGGAGTCTTTAAGGTGTCACAAGGTCCCTACTTATTTTCACTCTGTTTTCAGTTTGTATTTCCTTACAGCAATGAGTGGTGGGAAGGGAATGTGGGGAGAGACGCACCTGTTATATGCTAAATTTTAATGGAAGTCCGTGAGTGCTTTCGCTTTCTAGACGGTGCACCCAAAAATAGCTCAGAGCTTCCGATAAATAGTCTGCCTTCCAAAGCTCAGCATCCAGTCTTCCCTTTCCAGATACCTCTGGCTGAATCTCTCCTCTCTTCAGCTTTCCAGGTGAGCTTCGCAGACGCAGGTTGTCCCTGCTTGCTTGGTAGATGCTTCAGATTTCCAATATGATTTAAACCTGAGCTTATTTTGGTTTGCCCAGCCTCGCTGGCCACCCGAACCCTTATAGAAACTTGCTGTAACTGTTACTGTGTGATGTTGTTGTTCCTCAGCAGAGGATCAGACAGCAAATCACAGCCTCTGTGAAGGACAAGTGGAAGTTGTTGGTCGTTGTTGCATGATTTTTGGATCACTGAGACCATCCAAATTAAGATTCATTTTTTTCTGCCTGGAAAAAGGTAAGAGCATATTATTATCATGATGACTCTTTTGTATGGCTGCGGTCAGGGGTCATTTCGCAGAAAAAGAGGTGCAAGAGCTCATTAGCATAACTCATTAGCATAACTCATTTGCATATGCCACACCCCCTGACATCACGGGAAGTGTGTCAGAAGGTAACACCCACCGCTCAGGCTCCACTGGACTGTTTTGGATTGCTAGCTATTGGGGGGGGGGGACGTGCAGATCTGTCCTCACAGAGGAGGGAGAGCTTGTACCTGAATAAAACTTGGTCTTAAAGGCGCCACTAGATTGTTTTGAACCAGGGGACCGTGGGGGGGCTCTGCAGCTTACTTGGCTGCTTCTTGCTCTGACTGAGGGCTGCTGGGAGCAGGGGGTGGGGCTTGTTGCATGTGCCTGCCCCCTGGGCTCTTTACTGTCGGAGCGCCGCTCCTGTGCGCTCCTACAGGAAATGACCCCTGGGTGAGGTAAACCTGGGTCAGGAACCCTGCTGGGGTAAAACATCTCGGTGGGATGAGGAGAACTTTGAGGAAGAAGGCGATTTCACATTGTCAGGTTTGGTAATATTTATTTTAAATATTTTACCTCATGTTTCTGGGTTTCCTTATTTATTTATTTAACTTACACCGCGCCCTCCCAGCAATAGCCGGCTCAGGGCAGCTTCCAAAAATGTAAAACAACAATAAATAATATACTAATCATAAAATCACAAAACAATACAGTATTAAAAGGTGCTAACCGATACAATCCAAATGTCAATAACAATAATAATTCAACACGATGGCGTTCAGCCTTGAGAGTCTGCTTTAGTACAGTGTGCTTCACTCCTATTACTCCTCGTAATCTTATATATCTTTTACATTGTAAATGTCGACCTTGTAAAAAATATAAATCTGCGACACGTTTTCACCTGCTTAGTGGGCGCTGGCACGGAAACTCTGCCCAGAGGGAGGTGCTTCCGACAGAGAGGTGGGGTGAATGAATGAATGAATTTTATTGTTACAGCGCTTAGCCAGCAATATAAAACCATAAAAATAAATTACAATGGCCAAATTGTAAAACTTCCAGAATACAACAGGGTAATAAGAGACACACTGTACAATCATTTTGATTGCTAAAACCAAACTTAAGAATACGCTGCAATAAAACACAGTAAAAGAGAATAAAATAAGATGATAGAGGTAACAGTAGAAGTAAGAATCAAGCAGTCCTAACCCAAGTGACAACCAGAACACTGATGAGCTTTTACAACCAAGGAGCAAAATTTCGCAATCTGATGGAGCGCTGTATGTTCAAAGTTTAAAAACAAGTTCTCCATCTTATCCTGATCAGAAGTGCCTGCCAAAAAAGGATCAATAAGTTTTGTACGAGCCTCTTCAAATAATGGGCACCTCAGGAACACATGTTCCTGGGATTCGATCTCCCCCGACACACACGTACATAGCCTCTCCATTCGGGGAAGTTTTTTGAATTTGCCCTCAAGAACTGCAGTAGGTAAGGCGGAGCATCTAGCCAAAGTATATGCCCTCCTGAGTTTACGGGACTCCAGAACGGCTAAATATGGGGCCTGCGCTACGATGTATTTATTACTAATTGGTGCTATAAACGTAGGAGTCGCCTGTAGATCCAATTGGCGTTCGGTGTCCTTGATCCTCTGCCTAATTGATAACTTAGCTCGGTCGCCACCCAACTCCAAAAGCGCTTGGGGAGAATACCCCAAGAGCGAAATTTTCCGATTAACAGAAATCAGCCATTCAGATTTAAAGGCATCAGTCAGAATCATGGGCACTAGTCCACATGGATTCAAATTTATCTTCAACCAATAGAAGATGGAGTATAAGGTAATCATGGCTTCAACCTTCAGCATGCCAGTCTCTAGCCGTACGATTGCACTGGATACGCATCTAGGAACTTGGAGCACTGCTCTCAAAAATTTCGATTGGACTAGCTCTAAGGGGGCATAGCTAGAGGAAGGCGCTCCAAGCAGCGTCCCATAGAGCATCTGGGGAGGTGGGGTGAGTGGTTGCCAAGCAACGGTAGGGAAGGAGGGGTGAACTAGAGTTGCCAACCTCCAGGTGGGGCCTGGAAACCTCTCAGAATTACAACTGATCTCTAGGCAACAGATAGCAGTTCCCCTGAAGATAGGGTTGTCAGGTCCTCCCTGGCCACCGGCAGGGGATGAGGGGTAGGGTTGCCAGATCCAGGTTGAGAAACTCCTGGAGATTTGGGGAAGGAAGCTGGGGGAGGACAGGGACCTCAGCAGAAGTGAATGCCATATAGACCACCTTCCAAAGCATCCATGTTCTCCAGGTAGGGCTCCCAAATCTCACCAAGTCGCGGCGGGGGATCGCATGTCTTTGCAGAATCCCTGCCGCGGGGACGGTGAGACGCGTTGCACCACCGTCGCCAGGACATGATGCTACGCGTCGCTCTGGCAACGGGGCCCCTAACACACAACACACACACACACCCTCCCCAAACCCCGCCTTCCCCATAGAGTTGCCAGGTCTGGGTTGGAAAATACCTGGAGACGTTGGGGGTGAAGCCGAGAGAGGGAGGGGCTTGGGGGGAGGGCCCTCAGCATGGTCCAATGCCACAGAGCCCACCCTTCAAGGCAGCCATTTTCTCCAGGAGAGCTGATCTCTGTCAGCTGGAAATCAGTTGTAAAGGTTGGAGATCCCCAGACCCCACCTGGAGGCTGGCAACCCTATTCCCAAGCTCCACCCCCCCAAAAAAATCTCCAGGTATTTCTTAACTCAGAGCTGGCAACCAATCCTGGCCCTCACAGTGACCTTTTCTGCCATTTACAGAGGCTAGTTTCCGGTGAGGTGAAACTCAAGCATTCTTCGTAGAGGCCTCAGTCAAGACACCCCCCACAGCCTAAGTCCAGCAGGTCATTATGATTTCAAGCCTCATCTCTTTTCTTTTCCTTCCCACAGGCCTCCCTGTACTTGCATGATGGTTGCAGAGGTGCACATGGAAAATCCAATCTGTCTGATCGATAACAGACCTGATGGGACACTTGTAGTGGAAGAGAAAGCCATGCAGATACTTCTGGGTATCCGCCAGCCAGTAGTGGTGGTGGCCATTGTGGGGCTCTATCGCACTGGCAAGTCCTACCTCATGAACAGGCTTGCCGGCAAGACAGAAGGTATAAAATGAAAGGAATGCTGCTTGGGGAACTGAGCAAAGGGGGTCTGTTAGAGGGGAACAGGCTGGACCTCCCTGGTCTACCTAGCCCCATCAGGCGACACAATGCTTTTATATCCTGCTTTTCTGCTGATGCACTCGGAACAGGTTAAAGTCTAGAAACATCGAAATAATACACTCTAAAAACAAAATAGGACAACACCAGAATTTCTTCAGGCAGCTGCCTGTTTCATTTGCTGGCAGGCCGAGCTACCTGTTCTCTGGAGGCCAGGTCTACCAATATGGTGGCAAGGGTAGGGTAGACCTGTTCTCCGGAGGCCAGGTCTACCAACTTACTGGAAAGGGGTGGGTAGACCTGTTCTCTGGAGGCCAGTTCTACCAACTTACTGGAAAGGGGTGGGTAGACCTGTTCTCCGGAGGCCAGGTCTACCAACTTACTGGAAAGGGGTGGGTAACCTGTTCTCTGGAGGCCAGGTCTACCAACTTACTGGAAAGGGGTGGGTAAACCTGTTCTCCGGAGGCCAGGTCTACCAACATAGTGGAAAGGGGTAGGTAGACCTGTTCTTTGGAGGCCAGGTCTACCAACATAGTGGAAAGGGGTGGGCAGACCTGTTCTCCGGAGGCCCGGTCTACCAACATAATGGAAAGGGGTAGGTAGACCTGTTCTCTGGAGGCCAGGTCTACCAACATAGTGGAAAGGAGTGGGCAGACCTGTTCTCCGGAGGCCCGGTCTACCAACATAGTGGAAAGGGGTAGGTAGACCTGTTCTCTGGAGGCCAGGTCTACCAATATAGTGGCAATGGGAGGGTAGACCTGTTCTCCGGAGACCAGGTCTACCAATATAGTGGCAAGGGGAGGGTAGACCTGTTCTCTGGAGGCCAGGTCTACCAACATAGTGGAAAGGGGTGGGCAGACCTGTTCTCTGGAGACCTGGTCTACCAATATAGTGGCAAGGGGAGGATAGACCTGTTCTCTGGAGTCCAGGTCTACCAACATAGTGGAA